CGGCACAATTGCGATTCTGGAATTTTTTGCATTAAATTTATGATGTGTATTTCCTGTTTTAAGACTTCTAAAGTGATTAGGATAGTGGGAATCATAACCCTAAAACCCTAGGAGTATAAATATGTGTCTTTAGCTGATTTTGGGAAAGAAGAAGAGAAGGAAAACCTGTAGAGAAAGAAAGTGACAGAAGTTCTGGAGCTTTGATTCACAATATAGAGAAATTTTTTCTTGTTCCTTTCTTATTAACTCATGATGATTGTTTAAATAAAGATGATTATTTCTTTCATGTTTATTATGAACTAAATTTATTCTCTAGGGCTAAGATGTAGCCCAATCTCTTGATTATATGTTGATTTATGCTTGTTAATTTTTATTAAGATTTTTTCATAAGTTTTATTATTATGGTTAATGCTTTTGATTCTTAAGGACCCAAGAATTGAATGAACTAATGGACTAGGTTAAGATCGAGAGATGATACTTAGTTGGTCTACAAGAGTAAAACCATAGGTTGAGCAAACGCTAGAGATAGGTTACCGAGACTTGCAAGGTTTTGGTAAAATCCATAGAACGTAATGATCTCCAATTGCTTAAATCTGATTAGAGATAATTCGGGTTAGTAATTAGGAGTTAATTTGATAATTGTTTGAGAGAAAATTATTGGAAATTTAGGGAGTTTGACCTGTAGGAAGAGTTTAATAAAATTAGCATAAGTGATCAATATATATGAATAAGAGTTAGTATGAAATCTATGTCCTAGGTCTAATCATCTTGTTTTAACCCAAAGGTTTGTTTTAATTGTTCTCTTTTCAGTTCTCTTTTTAATTCCAATTGTTAATTTTATTTATTTAAGTTTTCCTTGATACAATTTGGATTGATCAAATAGTAATAGGATAGTTTAATTAGTAATTGATAATAGTAATTCCCTTGGGTTCGATATCCGTATTTATACACTATATTACTTGCATGATTTCGTACACTTGCGAAAACCCACAACACCTACAACTTCCTGGCTAGTGGATTTGGCATCTAGTTTGGTTTTTGTTATTGAATTTTGAAATTATCTAGATTTTTCTTCTCCTTCTCACGTCAGTATGATGTCATCATGCTCACATCAGCATGATGACGCAAGATAAATAACACTTAAAACTTTTTTACTGATAAAAATCTTTCTTTTATGATTATTTAATTGCCATTAATTGAATTCATCATGTTGCCAACTTGCCATGGGCCAGTGGCGGACCTAGGAGTTTTGTCGCGGGGGGCCTCGGCGACTTCACAATTATTTGCCAAACAACTAGTAAAAACTTAAAAAAAAATCAAACCTAAAGCAAAGAAAATAATACTATATCAAGAATATGAGAGAAATCCCTACTTGAATAAATCTATGAGAAGAAAAATTTTGAGTAAATGTGTTGAGTAAACCTTGAGCACAACCTTCTTTTAATTTTAATTTTTTTATTTTTGGCTTCCAAAGATTATAATATAAATTTTTATGACTTTGATTAGACCTAGCTTAAGTTAAAGTCAACCAAAATTTAAGTCAAGTCAATGTTACATTAACTTTTAATATGAATTAATAAAAAAAAAAAAGGAAATTTCCTTGATATAAATATAGTTAGTAACTCAAATTTCATTAATAATTTTGAGCAGCTGAATGGTGACATTTGAAATGTAGGAAAGTGGTGAGTGAAGAGTGAAGACTAACATTCTTTAAAATATTTCTAAAGTTTTAATTTGGGAAAGCATGTTCATTCTTAGATACAAAATACAAAATAAACTTATAAAATCCATGTCTTTTTCTCTTAAATCAAAATAAAAAACCTTAAAAAAAAAAAAAAAACATGATTCAATCCTAAAATAAACTAAATTGAAATAAGCAATATACATACTTAAAACTAATAAAAGAGAAAACGAAGCTAATTATGACACCTTGAATAGTGAAAGCTTCAACAATTTTAATTTCCAAAAGTTTTAAAAACGAATAGCATGAGAGAGTAAAGAATTTTGGGGATAAACTCATGAAAAGTAGGTGGAGCCGTGGAGAAAAAGAGCAAAGAGAGTTTTAAACTTTTAATATGATGTGAGCTTGAAATATATATATTAATAACAAGTTTTTTGTGGGTCTAGATATATGTATAATAATTCTCATTTTTTTAAATTCTAAGAGTAAGTCTGGATATATATATTAATAACAATTTTTTGTGAACTAATATATGATTAATTTTACTTTAAAATCTGAGGATAGGCCTGGCCTACCCTCCAAGGGGCTGGATCCACCCCTGGCCATGGCAGGTTATCATACTTCTTGGATTCATTTTGGGGTTGGCCGAAGAATACTACTGCTTTAGATGTAACACAATGTACCCAAATCTTCCAAGTTGGGTTGGCGGCCATAAATTTTTTGACGATAAAAGTCTCAATTTTTAATTGTTTATCATTAGTCTTAATTATGTATGCTTAATGGATTTACTAATAAGTCAAGTCTGACAGCTTACCAATCCGCAACAATGTGGCCCTATAACCATTACTCCATTAAAAGTCTTAAAGTCTGTTTGGGTTAGACTTATCTACTAATCAGTTTATTTAAAATCATAATTACTTTGGAAATTTATTTAGATCAAATGGTTGTCTCTTAAAAATATTTATAGGATTTTTAATAAGCTATTTTATAGCTTATGGGAGAAGCTCAAACTCATAGGCTGATTTTGAAGTTATTTAAAGTGTTAAAATTTAAAAAATACCCCTTATCTATTTTATAAATTTGGTTTGATTTATTTTTGTATAACTACATTGATTTTAACTAGAGGTGGAAAAAATGGGCCGGGTTAGGCGGGCCAACCCTAACCCGGCCCGTAAAAAAGAGGGCTCAAACCGGGTTGAGCCCAACCCACCAGCAACCCCCGGGCGGGCCGGGTTACACAATGGTAACCCGGCGGCCCGCCGGGTTGCTAATTTGTCCTCTTTGCAAGAGGCCCGCAACCCGGCGGGTTGCTGGCAGGTTGGCTGTTGCCAACGGCCAACCCGCCGGGTTGGCCCCCAAAAAAAAAAAATTGTAAATCTTTTTTATTTTTTTCAATTACACTTTTACCCTTGAAATATAGCCGTTTTATAGCCGTTGGAGGGGTCTTTTTCGTCATTTTCTTTCCCTATTTTTTTCTATAAATTGGCCCTAAACTCTCATATTTTTCTCACAACTCAAATTCTCTCATTTTCTCATATTCTCTATTTCTCTCAACTTCTCAAGTCTCAATTATTCATTATTCTCTTAATATTTTTGTTATCAATTTGCTCTTATTTAATTTTTATTAGGTTTTGCAATTTTCAATTCATATTTCCAATTTCCATATTCCAATCTCTTTCTTTAATTTTTATTTCTTCTACATCATTTTTTTTTTCAACTACAAGTCTACAATGGATAGAATTTCTTCCCATCAATTTCAATGGATAGATATTGCTCCAAAAATGATTGAAGTCCTCACATGTCTTCGAGATTGGGAACGATCGCGCCATCAAGATCAATACGAGGTTATCGACAATGCTTTAGTAGAATCATTCAATTTTGTAATATAGATGATACAGATGAGGGAGGTCCTAGTGAACCACCCCCAATTTAGTTGTTTTGTAAATGTAATTTGTAAAAATTGTCAATTATTGCATCTTTTTTCTTTACCATGTTTTTCTCCTATTGGGTTTTTCTTGGTGGGTTTTTAACGAGGCAATAATTGTTGTAATTTCTTATTTTATTTTTTGATAAATGAATAAGTCTAATTTTTCTTATATTACAATTTTATTGTATTAAAATTGAATTAATATTTGAAATGTAACCAAAAAAAAATTGAATTGAAGAATTATTGATATTTAGAAAGTTAACTAAAAACAATTATATTTATAATTATTTATTTGAAAAGTTAAATAAAAAAACAAAAAAAAATAAAAAAAAACAAAAAAAAAAAAAATCGGGCTAACCGGCCCGGACCGTGCCTAACCTGGCGGGTTAGGGCTGGCGGGCCGGGCTGGGCCAGCCACTCTCCCTAAATTGGCGGGTTGAGCCCAGCCGGCCAAAGCATGTAACCCGCCGCGGGCCGGCCGGGGGGGTTACTTTTTCACCTTTAATTTTAACCAAACAATTAACAAATTTTCATAAAAAACTATATTTTACAAGTTTTACTCTAATAAACTTTGTTGAAGAAGTCACACTAAACAGACGTAACTTCCAAAATTTTGAAATAAAAAGCATTAATGGATTCTATCAAAGTATAGACCTTTTGAAAAATTTAAAAAGATTGCTTGATCTTTTTCTATCAGAGGAGACTCTTAACTTTTCTAAGTCAGTCAGAGAGTAAAACAATAATCTTTTATGGGTAAACAATCCATCACATCCCACAATTGAGTCTTCCATTGAATTTTAGACTCATCAATTACCATATGAAATTGTGTTCCTAAAATCCACATAATATTATCAATCAGATAAAGAAATTTCGATACCATGAACGCAACTTGCAAGCAAAAATATTTCAGAACAAAGCTTATGAATGGGTTTAATTATTTCAAATGAACCATTAATCCATTTCATATTAATTTTCTTTTTATTTTCTACGCTATGGAATCCTTAGATTTAGCTCTCCTATTATAAAATAAATTAGCTAATAAAAGTTAGGATTAAGATCATCATAAATACTAATGAGAAAAAAATTGAAGTATCATATATTGGATAAATAATTACTTCTTTTAGTTGACTTAGAGTCTACTGTAATAGCAACCCGCCGGCCCACTCTAAGAAATTTTGATCAAAAGTTGTATTCAAGGAAATTTCCTGCAACTTTCATGCAGAAAAAATTCCAAATTAATCTAATCTGGACCTACAACACGGTTGTTCAAATTTATGGAAGCTGAGATATTTTGAGATTATGGAGCATATAATCCTATATATATAGAATGCTATTGACAACGTTCTCATCACATGCCCTGTCAAATAGTTTCTAATCAGAGTTTCAATGACCATGAGTATTGTTGTTCTTTTTCTTGAGTTACTAACCTTAGCAATCATCGATATTAGCTTCAGCAATAGAAACACCCACTTGAATTGCATTGAAAGTGAGAGAGAATCACTTTTAAGGTTCAAGCAAGAGCTCAAAGATCCATCAAACTGGCTTACCTCTTGGAGTGGTGATGGAGATTGCTGCACATGGGACAGTGTTGTCTGTGACAACTTGACAGGTCATGTCCTCCAGCTCCACCTTCAAAATCCTCACAATGATTCTGAGTACGAAGCTTTTTGGAGGTCAGAATTAGGCGGTAAGATAAATCCCTCTTTGCTTGATTTGAAAGATTTGATTTACTTGAACTTAAGCAAAAACTATTTTGAAGGAATTCAGATTTCTATATTTCTTGGTTCTATGGGAAAGTTAAGGTATCTTGATCTTTCTGGAGCTGGATTTTCAGGAATGATTCCTCATCAATTGGGAAATCTCTCTTACCTGAAATATCTTGACCTCGGTGGTGGGAATGTTTTGTATGCTGAGAACACTTTTTGGTTATTTGGTCTTTCTTTGCTAGAGCACCTTGATTTAAGTTATGTGGATCTTAGCAAATCCTCTGAGTGGTTGCAAGCGATAAATAATCTCTCTGTTTTGAAAGTGATGAAATTGTCAATTTGTCAGCTTTCTAACTTTCCTCCACTACCCATTGCAAACTTTTCGTCTTTTACTATCCTTGATCTTTCTTTTAACCAATTAGGTGATACAATTCCTAGTTGGATGCTTGGTCTTAATGATTTAGTCTATCTTTCACTAAATGTAAATTCTTTTCGAGTTCCTTTTCCTGATGGACTTCAAAACTTGACTTCTTTGAGGCACTTTGATTTATCTGATAATGATTTCAACTCCGCATTTCCCAATTGGTTTTACAAATTAAGCCTCCTTGAGTACCTAGATTTGTCAAGAAATAAACTTGAAGGGAGACTTCCAAGATCATTTGGAACACTTTGCAACTTGAAATCAATCTTTTTATCCGATGTGAAATTAAATCAAAGTACATCTGAAGTTCTAGATATCTTCTCAGGATGTATATCAGAGGGGCTACAGGTTTTAGATTTGCATCAATCTCAACTTTTTGGTCATTTCACTAATAAATTGGGGAAACTTAAGAATCTAGTCCATCTTGACCTACAGAACAATTCTATTTTTGGTTCTATTCTGTTGTCTCTAGGCAAACTTTTGTCCTTAGAACAATTAGATCTTTCCTATAACAAATTGGACGGAACTCTTTCTAAAATTCATTTTGCAAATCTCACGAGACTGCTCAGTTTTGATGCATCTGAAAACTCAGTAGTAGTAAAAGTTAGTCCTGATTGGCATCCTCCTTTTCAACTTGAAACTTTAGAGTTGCGTTCTTGTCTTTTAGGGCTTAAATTTCCATTATGGCTTCAGTCACAAAATAAGTTAACAGTGTTGGATATATCAAACTCAGGAATTCTAGATACCATACCTAATGGGTTTTGGAAGTCCCAATGGTCTTTTCTAAACCTCTCTCACAATCAAATCTTTGGAGGACTTCCAAATTTAACTAATGTTGGCGGTGTTGAATCACTTTTCTTGAATTCGAATAATCTGTTAGGTCCATTGCCCCTTATATCCTCTAAGTTGATTGGTCTAGATCTTTCCAATAACAGTTATTTAGGATCCATTTCCCAATTTTTATGTTACAGAATAAATGAGTCAAAGGAAATTAAAGTTCTCAGCTTCAAAGATAATGCGTTATTCGGAGCATTTCCCGATTGTTGGATGAATTGGCATGACTTATTGTACCTAAATTTAGGTAACAATAGTTTTACTGGTGACCTTCCAACCTCCATGGGAAATTTAAGTTCCCTTCAAGCACTTCACCTCTAAAAAAACAACTTCTCTGGAACAATACCGACTTCACTTAAAAGTATCAATAACTTAATGATACTTGACATGAGTGGAAATCAATTTTTAACAAAAATTCCATCATAGATCGGAGAAACATTTTCACAAATTACAATTTTCAACCTTCGTTCAAACAAATTTCATGGTGTTTTGCCAACAGAACTCTGTCATTTGTCTTCTCTACAAGTGAATCTCTTTGGAACCATACCAAGATGTGTCAATAATTTCAGTACCATGATGCCAATAAAGTGCCCTTTAAGAACCACAATAACAATTTCTTCAAATTCTACAAGTGGTAACTTTATTGAGGATGCAAGCCTTGTGATGAAAGGTAAAATGGATGAATATAGCACCATTCTTAATTTGGTAAGAATTTTAGACCTTTCCAAAAACAATTTCTCTGGAGAGATTCCTATCAAAGTTACAAACCTCAAAGGATTGCAAACATTGAATTTGTCAAATAATTTTCTGACCGGAAGAATTCCTACAACCATTGGTACTATGACATCTATAGAATCCATTGATTTCTCTAGTAATCAGCTTTCAGGTGAAATCTCATCCAGTATTTCGAACTTGTCTTTTTTGAGTCACTTGAACATATCCAACAACAACCTCACGAGGAGGATTCCTTTGAGCACTCAATTACTAAGTTTTGATGCATCTTGTTTTGCTGGCAATGAACTTTGTGGAGATCTGCTTCCTAAGAAGTGCACTATGACGACTAATGCAATGCCAAACCATGACAAAAGAGGAGAAAATGGAGATGAACGTGAAGTGATCTAGTTTTATGTAAGCATGCCAATTGGATTTGTGGTGGGCTTCTGGGGTGTAATTGGTCATTTGCTTTTCAACAGAAGATGGAGGTACAAGTATTGTCATTTCTTAGATTTTATAGGGAACAAACTTCACTATTTTGTAAAAAAATGTTGCTAGGTCCTTTATGTTTTAAGCTATGTTTGTGTATGGTTAAAGAAAGAAATAACTATTGAAATAAAGATGATGTTTTCATTCCAAAGAGTTTATTCCATTTTAAACTTGATATTTGTTATTGGGGGTTATTAGCATTTGAGATATTATTGGCATCCTCAGCGAGTAAATTCTAATTATAACGGCAAAGAACAACACTATAAGAAAAGATAAAAAGGTCTAAAAAGACATATTTTTCAGAATTTGATTTAAATCTTATAAAGTACAAGTAATAGTGAATGCTTTTGTTTAAAATTGCAAGATATGCACCTATATTAAGAACATTTATTTAGAACTATTTCCTTATTACCAAACTTTAATGTTATCCAAAGATTCAAAAGTTTCTCTAGCTATAATGCTAATGAAAAGAAAAAGAGATGCTAAGACGAAATCAAAGAAACAACTTATTAAGAACATGAGGGTTGAGTGTGGGAGCAATAAAACCTGACCAACTTGTTTAGCCAACAATCCGGTGACTCGATCCATGTAGAGAATATAAAGCACAATTCTGCTTAATTTCCAAAAGTTTTGCTACTTTTCTTGCTTGGAGGAGCGATTTTGTTAATTTGGGAGCAAGTAACGTGAAAAGATAGAATTCTTATTGATTAAAAGAGAGTCCGTTACATTGCTGTTTATATACAAAGAAATAAATTCATAACTGTCAACTAACTACCTCTAACTAGTTCAACTAATTACAGCTCAGCATAACATATTTCTAACTAACTAAGCTTCCTCCTATATACCAACTTGAATCTTAACACTCCCCCTCAAGTTGGCATCTTATGAATATTTTTCAAGCATAACTTGGATAGAAGCTTTTCATGCTGTAACCTTCCCAACCCTTTCATCATCACATCTGCTAATTGTTCTCCAGTTGGTATGTATTTCGTAATGATCAAACCACTTTGAATTTCCTTTCTTATAAAATGACAATCTATCTCTATGTGTTTTGTTCTCTCATGAAACATGGGGTTTGCTGCAATCTGTAATGCTGATTTATTATCACAGTAAAGTAATGCCGGGATTTTGGCTTCATCATCAAGCTCTTTAAGTAAGCCAGTTAACCAAACTAGTTCTGCAACAGTTCCAGTCATGCTTCTATGTTCTGCTTCTGCAGATGATCTTGCTATGCTATTTTGCTTCTTTGATTTCCAAGACAGAAGAGAATCTCCCATCTTGATGCAGTATCATGATACTGATTTTCTACTAACAGCACAAGAGCCCAATCTGAGTCACAAAATGCTATTAACTCTTTTGTACTTTTTGCGGACATAATCAACCCAAGAGTTGGTTCCTTTTTCATGTATCTTATAACTCTCAATGCTGTTTCCAGATGTGATTGTTTAGGAGTCTGAATGTGTTGACTTAAATTCTAGACAACAAATGAAATATCTGGCCTGGTCATGGTTAGATATAATAACCTTCCCACCATCCTCCTGAACATGCTAGGATCTGTCAGCAATTCATCCGGTAGAAATTTTTGATCAAACTCATATGAAGTCAGTTTTAAATGTTGTTCAAGAAGAGTGTCAGCAGGTTTTGCAGCAGATAACCCAGCCTCTGAAATTAATTCCAGTGCATATTTTCTCTGGTTCAAAACAATTCCTTCAGAGGACCTAGCAACTTCAATTCCAAGAAAGTATTTAAGGTGACCAAGGTCTTTGATTTTGAAGTTATCTTGCAGTATAAACTTCAACTGGTCTATCATCTTAATGCAGCTCCCTGTTATCAAAATGTCATCAACATAGACAAGCATAATGACTATGTTGCTTCCCTCTCGTTTGGTGAATAATGAGTAATCATACTTACTCTGCAAGTGACCATTTTTTATCAAGGCTTTAGTAAGTTTGTGATTCCATTTTCTACTTGCTTACTTCAATCCATACAAGGATTTGAGCAATCTGCATGGCCCTTGGCCACAAGCTTGGCTTTGTATCTTTCTAAGGTACCATCAGAATGGTATTTGACTTTGTAGACCCATTTGCAGCCAATAGGCTGCTTGCCTGCTGGGAGAGGAACAAGCTGCCAAGTTTTGTTAGCTTCTAATGCATTGATCTATGTTTGCATAGCAGTAATCCAATTAGGATCCTAAGAAGCTTCAGCAAATGAAATAGGTTCTTTGATCCAAGAGATGGATGAAAGGAAACACCTATAATATGGAGAAAGGTGATCATAAGAGACAACATCTGAAATGGAGTAATGAGCTTAAGGGGTGATATAATCCTACAACCAAATTGGAGGTTTGTGTGATCTAGCAAAACGTCTGATGTTTAAAGGAACATCAGGAGTAGGTACTGGAGCTAAAGATGGTGTTGATGTGGAGTCAATTGAAGGAACAACAGGGCAAGATCAACAGTAGGACCAGGACTGAAATTGTAATCTGGTGATGGTGGATCAGGAGTGTCAAAATTGATAGGAGCAGGAAAAGAGTCATCATAAAATGTGGTAGTGAAAGGATCACTTGGAAATAATGGAACATGAGAATGTTGCTGGGATTGAAAGGGAAAAATGTCCTCAATAAATCTGACATCTCGATTGACAAAGAAGCTGAAATCTTGTAGGTTCAGCAACTTGTATCCTTTTTGTGTAGAAAAATATCCCATAAAAACTAATGGTATGGCCTTGAAACCGAATTTATCTCTGGAGCGCAGATTAGACGCATATGCCAAGCACCTAAACACCTTGAAGTGATCAATAGAAGGAGGAGAACCAAAAAGAACTTGATAAGGTGAACTGCCCTGAAGCACATTAGTAGGAAGTCTATTGATGATATAGCAAGCTGTGAGTATGCACTCTCCCCAGTATTTAATTGGAATGGAGGCCTGAAATCTCAAGGCTCTAGCAACATTAAGTAAGTGCCTATGTTTCCTTTCTACTACCCCATTCTGCTAGTGAGTATATACACAAGTTTCTAGTGAATAATCCCAAGTGAAGTGAAGAGTGCCGAGCATTGAGAGTTGAGAAACTCTAAGCCATTATCTGTTCGAATAGTATTGACAGAGGCTGAGAATTGACTCTTGATGAGAGTAAGAAAGCTCTTAATATGAACTATAACTTCATGCTTATTTGTCATGAAAAAAACCCAAGTAACCCGAGAATGATCATCAGCTACCGTAAGGAAGAATTTGTGATGATTATGTGTAGGAGTATGATATGGTCCCCATACATCCATATGCAACAAATGAAAACATGCAGGAGCTCTTGTAGTGCTAATAGGAAAAGGCTTTCTCATATGTTTGGCAAGAGGACTGATATCACAACGGTACTCAGCATTATCAAAATTAAAATTTCTTATTCCAGAAAAATATTTCAGTTTTGCATATGGCACATGACCAAGACGTTTATGCCAAAGCTGGCTTACAGAAACTGAACATGAAATAGGTAATGTTTTATTCAAAGCAGAAATATTAGTCTTGTATGCATGAGAAGGCATGAAGAAGTAGAGACTCTCTGATTCTTTACCAATCCCCAGTATTTTGCCATTGGAGAGGCCCTGAAATATGCAGAAATCAGGATAGAAACTGACAAAGCAAGATAAGTCTTTGGTGAGCTTTGAGATAGAAATCAAATTAAACTTGAAATCTGGCACAAATAATACATTAGTCAGTTTCTAATCTGGACCAATGTTACAAGATCCAATATGTGTTATGGTTGAATGATGTCCATTGGGTAGCCTAACTGTGGAAGGAGAAGCTTTCCCCATCAATTTGTTCAAAGTGTTTAAAGAAGCTGTCATATGATGACTAGCTCCTGTGTCTATATCCAGCAAACTCCATGATCTAAGGATGAAAAATAAGAGTGAATACATGCCATATTGACATGTGCATCCTTTGGAGGTAATGCGGGTTCTTTTTGGAGCAATTTTAGTATCTCTACATACTGCTCTTTAAAAAAGATTGGAGGAGCTGCTTGAGTATTATTTTGAGTGGCTGTGGAACTACTGTGATCAGATAATTTAGTAGTGGTAGCGTTATTTGCTGAGGATTGAGTAGGATTCTTTCTTCTGGTGAACTTAA